AGTTCACCATTTCCTCCACAGCCCGGGAGAGAGTGGGTGGGGGGTAGGGCTTGAGGGCTAACACACACACTTAGGTCTCAGCAAATTAACTCATTCATTTTCATTCTAACTGCTTGCATAAATAATTCCACATACAAATATTTCATTCCATACATTCTCCAGGCAAACCACACACTTTTAAATAAATAAGGCCTTTTTAGTTTGTTGTTATCAGAGAGGGTTAGACCCTTTTCCAAGTCTTGGAAGTAACACAGAACAACATAGACAAACATATATACACAAATACTGTTAAAACAACATTTATTTAAACATATGACTTGTCCTGCAAGAAGCGAGAAAAATCGAGAGATGATTTCAACCAAACATGGTTTTATAGGGCCCTTTCATTTCCCATTTTTCTCACCATTCCAAGTCCAAGCATAGTGTTCTGGGTGGCCACACATATACACACATATACATACATATACAGATATATAAACACAAAACACATTACACATTGACACAAAGCACCACCAGACATTGTCTGACAGGGTTAAACTTAACAGCTACATGAAGTTTCAAAACATTCCTATTTGTTCAAAACTCATTGCAGAGGAGTGCATTTTGAGTTAATTTATGTCTTTAAATTTACTCTGAAGATTCCCCTTATTATTTTTTCTACTTCAAGATAGAATCCAATTAAAGAAGCTTTAGGAGGGAGAACTTTTACTTGGTTGTAATCAGAAGGGGGGCTGGTAGTTAATTGTTGCCCTTCTGAAGCATCTAAGCCATATTTGTTAAAAAGAAAGAAGTTTGTCTTGGTCAATTCTCTAAGCTTCTCCTGAGCCTTAGAAAATTTTCCATCCACATTCTTTGCGAGATAAAGGATAGACAGTTGTTCCGTTGACTTTCTGAAGACAGTTTGCTTTCCTGACTATTTTAAAAAGTTCATCTACATGCTTAGACAGAACTTGAGAAAGTGAAGAGCCCATACTTACGATGAACGAGCCTAAACAAGGTGCGTAGTACAGGAGTCAGGGAGACGCTTCCCTAGACAAGGAACACGCCTTGGAAGCAATCACGTCGGGGTCACCAGTTGTGGGATCGCTGGGGATCCCACTTGTCCCTTTTCTCCGGGATGAGGTGATGTACGTTGGATGAGACCAACGGACCTCGCTTTAGGTTAAGAAACACACGGACAACATGTTTCTTCAGGTGAGATGGCAGGCGAGCGCGAGAGCCCAGAAAAGCCTTTGTGCCTCCCTTTTTATTGGTCAATAAACGTCATTAGGGGGTGTACAAAAGCAGGAGGGGGAAAGGGTCTTCATTACCATATATGGAGCGAGAAACAAGAAACCAGGAGACCCTAAATCATTCTTTAGCGTACGTATCAGAAACTTAGGGTCTTCAAGGCAGGCTTTTCTAGGAAATGGGACTTAAGTCAGGAAACGAAACTTAACAGAGGGGATGAGCTCATTGTATGGACAAGGAACAAATCCTACAGGCATTTCATAGGAAACGAAACCTATGTTAGAGATGAAACTTATAGCAGTGGAAAAGTACCCAGAGATATTGCAACACTGGAGGTGTTTTATTTATGAATAGATCGGCCCCGTCTTTCTTAATAGGTACAAAATACCCATTTCTAAAGACTTGAGGATTCTACTTGAGGCTATTAAGAAAGACAGGGGCTGCTTTCTGCCTTTATTAAGATTTTTCTCCATTTCTCCTTTTGGGGAAATATAATATTCTGCCTCTTTTTAATATTAAGAATAAAGAATATTTTAATTTGGGGAGGAGGGGCTTCCTACACTACCATCTTGACTTGTTTAATCCCCGCCCCAGTCTGTACCCTGAAAATAGTCCTCTTGATTATTTCAACAATCATTTTATTAAGGATTATATTCACAGATCAAACAAACTTAATCCAAGCATGTACAGCATATCAGTGAATATACCGTGTGTGCATGTACATATGAAAAAGACAATGTGAAAAAAAGAAAATAAATCCCTCCAAAAAAAAAAAAGAGTAAGAAATTTTCCCTTTTCATCAGCCAGAATATATTCAACATCAACATTTATCACTAAATAAACAACCGGATGTATCTTCGTTCCACCCCTCTCCAAATCTTCAGTTCTCCTCATTGATCAACAAAGGCTGAATAAGAATTAACAAAAATATCTGGGTGCCTTGAATTATGACTGTAGCAATTTATGACCAGAAATCCATTCCCAATTGTGGTCATAAGTTGAGGACTATCTGTACTCTGCAAAACATTACACATTCTCTCCACAGTTATGACTTTTTCGTGTAATCATTCTGGTCAGTTACTCATGCCACTTTGTGAACAAAACATTCTCACACTCCCAACGTTTACGCCCTTTTGCTTCACTGTGTGCTTTGTGATGGAACTGACTTTAGTTGACTAGGAAAAACATTTTTCCCACGCTAAACATGGTAGGTTTTTCCTTTTTTTTTAAACAAGTTTTATTAATTTTCCATTTTTACAAATCTTCGGGTATTAAGGAAGCAACATGGTGGTTGGGTAATACATAGTCCAGTAACAAGCTTATCCATACATATGTCAGTTTACATCATCAAAAATTTCCTCTCTGTTTCCCTTAGTTATTATACCAAATTCAAATTAATACATTGCTAGTTATAACTCAATCATTTAAAACATTTATCAACAACTTTTGATTTATATGTCTCCAGATCCTGTTTTTAACTTTTATCTGATTTCAATTACAGTATTCCAGTTGGCTTAATGTCCTTTAGTATTTAGGTTTCGGATAACCCACGGTTCCCTTAGTTCATTACAGAATAATTATCATGTCTAAAACACACTTATTATTTATTCAAATAAGTTCTTAGTTTATTTCACAATCATATTCTACTTCCCATTCTAATATCATCGCTTACTCATAAAATAACCTTTATCCTCTAAATCCATCTTCTATATTATAATTCAAAACTATTATTTTAGTTAATTTGTTTCCCTTATAAATCCTGAATATTAAATCAATTAATGTCTTTTAAAATCTCCTTATCCCATTAAGTGAGATTTAAGGCTCTTCCATGAAATATCACATAAAGAAACCCATTTTTTAAGTCTAACTCTGGCCTTCCTTTTGTGCCAAACCGGCTTCCATAACAAGAGCTTTTAAATCCTCGGGTGGATCTCCCTTCATTCCTGCATATGTCATTTAAATCAAGGGAGACCATCCAGTTATAAGCCTATCAAGGAAGCTAGTCCCTTCATAGTCTTTAGATTGTTGGCCTAGTAGTTTGAATCTCCATATTTGGCTTAATATATTTGTCATGAGTTTAGGGTTGGTCTTCTTCTTCTTCTTCTTCTTCTGCTTTCAGCTGGTTTAGATGAAAAGTCATATTCAATGTTGCAGTTGTTTTTTGGTCATCTGGGTTATCTGAATTCTCAGTGTATTGTGTATGTAAGTCTTCAGCACCTTCCGTCTTAATGTTGCTTTCTTCAGTTTCTGTTGCTGTTAAGATTGCAGATTCTTTAGATGAAATCAAAGTTTGGGTGTCGGAGTTCTGAATAGATTGTAGCTGGCATTCTTTCAAATCCACTTTAGTATTGGTTCCTTGTTCTTCTGTTGCTTTTTGGGTTGTAAATTCATCGATTGAAGTCAGGGCTGCGTTTTGTAGCTTTAAGGTGGCGTGTATATCTTTCATTCTGGAGTTCGTTAGCTCAATAGCCTCTAAGATTTTTTCAAGTATAAATTTGAAGTTAAGCTGTGGGTGGTATTCCTCCATTTCTATGGTATTTAAGAATAGTCCTTTGGTGGAGGCTATTTTTAATAAAAGTCAATAACTATCCACCTCCACTATAAAGAATTATTTTCACTACCCAGCTGTTTCAAGTTCTTATCTTTTTTGAAAATGTCAAGGACAAATTTTAGTCTCAAGTCTCCCAGTCCAAAAAATTTTTTTCACTTGCTGTACCAAAGTTCAACACAAGATGTCCCCAGTAACATACAAAGTTAAGCTTTTAACTGGTTCAAAGAAGGAAGAGAGAAATATTCCTTTTTTTTCAGCTTAGCAAACAAATAAAACAATAAATTTCTGTAAGAGTAAAGAATTTTTTGGGAGCCCAGGTATCCAAAAATTACAAGTCCAAATATTTGGTCATTTAGTCTAGTTGTTCTCTCTCTTTTTTTTTAGCTTTATATTCCCAAAGTAGGCAGGAGCCACAAAATTGAGCAGGGGGAAAGGGGTATTTCCAAAGGCTTTTACAGGAAAATAGTTGGGAAGCAGGAAAGGTAAGGACTCACCCAACTCCTCCAGGTTGCTTTCGTCGTGCTTGGTAGTGGCTTTTGGCTTTCGGCAGGAACGGCTTGGTGATCAGCCATGTTAATGGCCGATCTTTTCTTTGTCAGTCCAAAGGAGCTGCTGCCCTTCAGCGATCAGTCGAGTGTCCTCCTCAGTGGTGGTCACCCCTCTAGGGCGACTTTCAACCCTTTACAGGGTCTTCTGGCAGAGAAAAACCGGACGGCGGGGAAAGCAGCCTCCTCACACGCCTGCCGGCACCGCGATCACAAACCAGAAGCCATAGGTTTTTCCCTTCTGTCACTGTGTAAAATTCCTGGCAAATTGCAAGGTGTGACTTTTGAAAAAGTTTTTTCCCATATTGTTCACGACTGAAGAGATTTATCTCTGCTATGGACTTTCTGATGTATTTTTATCTGTGATTTACAATGAAAAGTTTTCTCACACTCTGCACACTTGTAAGGCCTCTTTCCTGCGTGACTTCTGGTGTGCCTGTGAAATGATGAAGGTTGGGCAAAACATTTCCCACACTCCAGGCATTTATATGGTTTTTCTCCAGTGTGGATTCGCTGATGCTTCAAAAGAGTATTTTTTTGAGAAAAACTTTTATCGCACTCTGAGCATTTATAGGGCTTCTCTCCTGTATGGATTCGGCTGTGACTTCTAAGGGAACATGATTGAGCAAATGCTCTCCCACAATCTAAACATTTGTAGCTTTTTTCCCCTGTGTGAATTTTCACATGACTTCTAAGGGCTGATGGGGTACTATAAAATCTTCCACATTCGTTGCATTGATGTGGTTTCTCCCCGGTGTGGGTTTTATGATGTGCCCAAAGGCCTCCCTTCTGTCCAAAACATTTCCCACATTCTAGGCATCTGTACGGCTTCTCTCCTGTGTGGAGCCTCTGATGGCTTCCAAGGTGTTGCTTTTGGGAAAAGCATTTCCCACACTCCCCACATTTGAATGGCTTCTCCCCTGTGTGGAATCTCTGATGAACCTGAAGATGGGTTGGCGAAATAAAACTTTTCCCACATTCCATACATTTATAGGGTAGCTCTCCTTTGTGCCATTTCTGATGTCTCTGAAGTTCAGAAGAATACATAAATCGTCTCTCACATTCTGGGCATTCAAAGGGTCTGTCTCCAGTGTGAAGTCTCTGATGTCGCACCAGGTGTGATTTACTGGAAAAACGTTTCCCGCATTCGAGGCACTTTTCGTTTTTCTCCCCTCTGTGCGTTTTCTCGTGATTCCGAAGAGATGTACTCAGGCTGAAACATTTTCCACACTCAAAGCATTTGTAAGATTTTGTTCCTGCATGAATCTTCTCATGGGCCCAGAGACTTGCATTCTGAGGAAAGCTCTTTCCACATTCCCAACACTTGTAAGGTTTCTCCCCTGTGTGAATCCTCTCGTGGTTTCGGAGGGTGGATTTCTCACGGAAAAAAATCCCACATTCCAGACATTGATATTCTTTCTCTCCAGTGTGGATTTTCTGATGTGTAAGAAGGTGTGCCTTTTGACCAAAGCATAAGTCACATTCCAGACATCTATAGGGTTTTAATTTGGGGGGGCTTTTGAGACCTATGGCACCTTTTCCAGAGAAGGATTTCTCATCCTGCAAACCTTGAATGGATCCACTTTCCATATGGACCTTCCTGTGGGTCAAACGGAGGGACCGGCGAGCAAAGGATTTCCTACATTCAAGGGTTTTTTGTGGTTTTTTTGGAGAGCTGCTTGTGTCTGATGGGGGATCCAAAGGTTTCCCACGCTCCATGCTTTCTGGCACTTGCTGCCTTGGGCTGAATTTCTATTATCTGTTAATAATTGGCTTGCAGATAATTTTTTTCCACAATATTTTATCTGCTGTTAGAAGGAAAAAAGATATGGAGAATGATATTTCCTTTTGAGAAATCACAAAATCTTAGCCTTGGAAGGGACCATGTAGGTCTTCCAGTCCCACCCTCTGCCCAGGGTTGAGTCCCGGGTACACCTGAGACAAAATATCCAGTGATGGAGCCCGCACATCTCTAGGAGGGATGTCCTCAACTTATGACCACAGTTGGGACTGGAATTTCGGTCATTCAGTGAAGCAGTGGTTAGGTGACCACTTCGATCCACAACCATAATCCCACACTCCTGGTTGCAATCATGAAGTGACCTTAAGAGTTCTTAAGTGGAGGGAGGCTCAGATAATTGTTGCTGGGGTATCTCAGGTGTGGGGGAGGTCCTGGAGACCAGGCACAGACCACCCATGAGTTGGGGGGCTACTGAAGTGGGATGCAAAGCTGCCACCTCCCTGGAAGCCTGAGCCACCCCAGCATTGATTGACAACAATATTGGGACTGCGTCTTAAGTGGAGGCCTGGGGCCCACGGCTATTTCAGCCATCTGCCACTGACCTCAGGACTGGACTTCAGCTCACTGCTGCAACTTAGAAATGCAGCTTCAAAGCAGCTTCTTCAACTGGGCCACAATTTCCAAATTCTCTAGAACGGAGTCAAAAGTCTGTGGGTCCCGATCCAAGAACGCCCCTTCTTCTCTGTGGAGCTCATGGCCACATCCTCACTGGTCTCCTGCAAAGAGAAATGAGAAAGGCTCAGATGCTGAGCATAATCTATAAATGACCTGGAGGCAGGAGGAGAATATGGAATTATTTGTTGAGGATACAAAATAATGGAGATAGAATTGTGATTTGAAGAAGATCTTGAGGACTTCCGGTGGCAGGCGATTTCGCTGGTCGCAGCTGTTTGCTGCCTCCCGCCTGTTTTGCGTAAAAGCCGGTTTGACAGCTAGCATCTGCTGTCAAACGGCTTGATACCTTTCCCCTGGGCATAAGGGGATCGGTGAGCTGCCCGGGGTAGGAGTTGAGTTCCCGAGTCGTCCTATATGGACGATGTAGGTGAG